ATTAAAAATCTTCCAACAAACAAAAGCCCAGGACCAGATGGCTTCACAGGTGAATTCTATCAAACGTTTAGAGAAGAGCTAACACCTATCCTTCTCAAACTCTTCCAAAATATAGCAGAGGGAGGAACACTCCCAAATTCCTTCTACGAGGCCACCATCACCTTGATACCAAAACCAGACAAGGATGTCACAAAGAAAGAAAACTACAGGCCAATATCACTGATGAACATAGATGCAAAAATCCTCAACAAAATACTAGCAAACAGAATCCAACAGCACATTAAAAGGATCATACACCATGATCAAGTGGGGTTTATTCCAGGAATGCAAGGATTCTTCAATATACGCAAATCTATCAGTGTGATAAACCATATTAACAAATTGAAGGAGAAAAACCATATGATCATCTCAATAGATGCAGAAAAAGCTTTCAACAAAATTCAACACCCATTTATGATAAAAACCCTGCAGAAAGTAGGCATAGAGGGAACTTTCCTCAACATAATAAAGGCCGTATATGACAAGCCCACAGCAAACATCATCCTCAATGGTGAAAAACTGAAAGCATTTCCACTAAGATCAGGAACAAGACAAGGTTGCCCACTCTCACCACTCTTATTCAACATAGTTTTGGAAGTTTTAGCCACAGCAATCAGAGAAGAAAAGGAAATAAAAGGAATCCAAATCGGAAAAGAAGAAGTAAAGCTGTCACTGTTTGCAGATGACATGATACTATACATAGAGAATCCTAAAGATGCTACCAGAAAACTACTAGAGCTAATCAATGAATTTGGTAAAGTAGCAGGATACAAAGTTAATGCACAGAAATCTCTGGCATTCCTATATACTAATGATGAAAAATCTGAAAGTGAAATCAAGAAAACATTCCCATTTACCACTGCAACAAAAAGAATAAAATATTTAGGAATAAACCTACCTAAGGAGACGAAAGACCTGTATGCAGAAAATTATAAGACACTGATGAAAGAAATTAAAGATGATACAAATAGATGGAGAGATATACCATGTTCTTGGATGGGAAGAATCAACATTGTGAAAATGACTCTACTACCCAAAGCAATCTACAGATTCAATGCAATCCCTATCAAACTACCACTGGCATTTTTCACAGAACTAGAACAAAAAATTTCGCAATTTGTATGGAAACACAAAAGACCCCGAATAGCCAAAGCAATCTTGAGAACAAGAAAAGGAGCTGGAGGAATCAGGCTCCCTGACTTCAGACTATACTACAAAGCTACAGTAATCAAGACAGTATGGTACTGGCGCAAAAACAGAAAGATAGATCAATGGAACAGGATAGAAAGCCCAGAGATAAACCCACGCACATATGGACACCTTATCTTTGATAAAGGTGGCAGGAATGTACAGTGGAGAAAGGACAGCCTCTTCAATAAATGGTGCTGGGAAAACTGGACAGGTACATGTAAAAGTATGAGATTAGATCACTCCCTAACACCATACACAAAAATAAGCTCAAAATGGATTAAAGACCTAAATGTAAGGCCAGAAACTATCAAACTCTTAGAGGAAAACATAGGCAGAACACTCTATGACATAAATCACAGCAAGATCCTTTCTGACCCACCTCCTAGAGAAATGGAAATAAAAACAAAAATAAACAAATGGGACCTAATGAAACTTCAAAGCTTTTGCACAGCAAAGGAAACCATAATCAAGACCAAAAGACAACCCTCAGAATGGGAGAAAATATTTGCAAATGAAGCAAATGACAAAGGATTAATCTCCAAAATTTACAAGCAGCTCATGCAGCTCAATAACAAAAAAACAAACAACCCAATCCAAAAATGGGCAGAAGACCTAAATAGACATTTCTCCAAAGAAGATATACAGAATGCCAACAAACACATGAAAGAATGCTCAACATCATTAATCATTAGAGAAATGCAAATCAAAACTACAATGAGATATCATCTCACACCAGTCAGAATGGCCATCATCAAAAAATCTAGAAACAATAAATGCTGGAGAGGGTGTGGAGAAAAGGGAACACTCTTGCACTGCTGGTGGGAATGTGAATTGGTTCAGTCACTATGGAGAACAGTATGGAGGTTCCTTAAAAAACTACAAATAGAATTACCATATGACCCAGCAATCCCACTACTGGGATATACCCTGAGAAAACCAAAATTCAAAAAGAGTCATGTACCAAAATGTTCATTGCAGCTCTATTTACAATAGCCCGGAGATGGAAACAACTTAAGCGCCCATCATCGGATGAATGGATAAAGAAAATGTGGCACATATATACAATGGAATATTACTCAGCCTTAAAAAGAAATGAAATTGAGCTATTTGTAATGAGATGGATAGACCTAGAGTCTGTCATACAGAGTGAAGTAAGTCAGAAAGAAAAAGACAAATACCGTATGCTAACACATATATATGGAATTTAAGGGGGAAAAAAATGTCATGAGGAACCTAGGGGTAAGACAGGAATAAAGACGCAGACCTACTGGAGAACGGACTTGAGGATATGGGGAGGGGGAGGGGTGAGCTTTGACAGGGCGAGAGAGAGTCATGGACATATACACACTAACAAACGTAGTAAGGTAGATAGCTAGGGGGAAGCAGCCGCAAGGCACAGGGATATTAGCTCGGTGCTTTGTGACAGCCTGGAGGGGTGGGATGGGGAGGGTGGGAGGGAGGGAGACGCAAGAGGGAAGACATATGGGAACATATGTATATGTATAGCTGATTCACTTTGTTGTAAAGCAGAAACTAACACACCATTGTAAAGCAACTATACCCCAATAAAGATGTTTAAAAAAAAAAAAAGTGGATATAATGAATAAATTTATCAAAGAACATATTGTTAGGATTCAATCATAAAACTAATTCATGAAAAAAAATTCAGTAAAAGATAACATGAATTACAGTATCTTCCATGTACTGTGCATACTTGAGCTTGAATCCTTTATTTCTGAAGTGATGCTAAACACATTCTTGAAGATTGGCAAAAAATGTTGCCACAGAGGCAAATGGCTTCTCCTGTACATACTGTCAAGGATAGAAATACAAGAAAATCCTGCCTTGTTTCTGAGCAAGAGCCATTTAATCTCTTCTCTATAGAAGAAGGTTTTCCAAACTATCCATTAACCCTGATTGCAATATATTTATGTAACTGACAAGAAACATGATCATTGCTGAGTACCAATATACATACTATACATCACAAAGTCACTAAAGACTGGTTGTCTCCTGAAAACACTTTCAAACATCTATCCTTATTTTTCAAGTTATAGTTCCTTCTTCAGTACCACCTGTCAATCCTTTATTTTCAGTGTGTTCTTAATAGAAGTCCTGGTAGGAAATTATAAAACTGGAGGATTGAATTATTACAATGTAAGGAAAGGCACAAAAGTGTAGTGGGGGAAAAGGAATAGCATAGGTTTAGCAAGAACAAAAGGATAAACTGCAAAGGATAAAAATCAGAAACTTGTCACACCAAGAATCAATATCTAAGATATTCGGTTACTAAAATTATGGGTGTGTCCAAATTGTAAAAAAAATAATATGGGGATAGTTAAGGACCAAAAAAAAATGTGATTGTAAAGTTCAGAAAATGATACCTGCAAGTAAAGTACAGAGAAGGGAGAAAGTTGGAAAGCCAGTTAGACTATATGAGTTTGATCAATTCCTGTCATGTGGTGTCAGGACTATAAGAAATATGTAAAGATATCAAATATAAAACTCATTTGATATAAAACTTCTGTTAAGAGGGCTCATGGACTAAGTAGTTGTAATATATAGATTTCTAGATCATGGGAAGCTCTTAGAGACACCAAAAAACTTCGTCATTTATAATTGTTTCAGAGAAAGGGTGATCATAATCTCTTTCCTTCTTCCTGCTCTTTTCCCTCTCCTTTCCAGTAAAAGTAAGTATATAGGCATATTCTCTTGATCTGTCTTCCATAGTGGAAGAACTATGGTCTTTTAACTTCCTGCAATTTTTAAAAATTGGAATTAACTAGGATAATCAACAAAGAACAATTTACTATGGTTTTGAGCTCAAAATGACTTTTCATCTGAGGTATCTTGTAGTCTCTCTAGGTATAAATATAAGCCATGAATACATAGACACATCTAATGATCTTAGGGTGACTTCCAAAGATAAAACTCAAACAGTTATGTAAAATTTAGGCCCTGGAGTAGAGACCAGATTTGGGAGAAAAGGGAAGAGAATTCTCGGCTCATGATAAATTCCCACTTTGATGATGTTTTAAAAAAAATTTCTTATTAAGAAAAAAAGGACTCTCCTTAAATGTATACTACTGGTTAATACATAACTTGCTGAAACAACTTAAGATATTCATGCAGTCTTTTTGGATTTGCTACTAAATTCCAGTCACTATTCAAGGCACTGGTAATACAACAGTAAACAAGACAGACACAAATATCTGCCTGTGTGGAGTTCATATTCCATTAGGGGAAAATGCAAAGTGAACAAAATAAATAAGCTTTATGCTGTGTTAGAAGGTGATAAAAGCTATGGAGAAGAAATAGAGCAGAAAAAAATACGTGAAGAACCACAGGTCCATGTGATTTTAAATAGGGAAATCCAGAGAGTTCTAAGAAGGTGTCATTTAAGCAAAGATCTGAAGGAGATGAGGGAATAAGCTACGGGGATATCTGGGGGAAAGAGGCAGAAGGAACAGAGAGTAAAAGTTCTGAGGTGGAGGAATGTTTGGCAATTTCCTGGGAGTGCAAGGATGACCGTTTAGCAAGACAATTAAAGAGTAGATGAAAACTTAAGAGATGATCTAAGAAAAGTCAAGGTCAGGGGTGAGAGGGTATAGTGTCTAGAACTTTAGAAGCAAGAAATTACTTAACAATTACATTTGCATCGTACAGGTAAAGATGCCAGCCCAATCAGAAAATATACTCTTCTTCTATACTGGTGCTTACAAACCTCGTATCAATCCTCCTCAAACATCGTTATAAGGACTGTGGTTTTTACTCTTGCAGAGAGTTTTGAGAAGAATGAAATCATCTGAGCTCACTAACATGTTGTGTTATAAATTGATTCTAGGGGGCAAGGGCAGAAGCAAGGACACTAGTTTTCAGATTATTAAACTATTCCAGGTGGAAAATGAAATCTTGGAGCAAGGTACTGATGATGAAGGTTAGAGAAGTGGTCAGAGTGTGGATACTATACTTTGAAAAGGAGCTAAAAGTATGAGCTAGCAGATTGGATGTGGTTTTGAGATCAAGAGAGGAGGGATAGGATGACTATAAAGTTTTAAGCCCTAGAAACTAGAAGGTTAGGGTTGACTCTTAGTGAGATGGTAAGGTTATAAAGAGGAAACAGGTTCAGGATAGAGAAGTTTGGTTTTGTAAATGTTAAATGTGAGATGTCCGTTAAACATCCAAATAAAATGTTTAGATATATGAATTCAACAGAAAGGATATTACCAGTCTTCCCCACGAATCCCAGGTACAAAGAACATTTAATAATTTTCTAGCAATAAAGTCTTATTATATATGTTTTTAAATTTTTAGGAAGGATTTATAAATCAGGATGCAAATATTTCAGTCCTATGCAACTGAGTGAGTTGTGTTTATATGGGTATAACGCAGTATTTTTTTCTTAAAAGACAACTAAGCATTTACGGTTTCCAACTGATACTTTTATGCTTCCAGTTAGAAAAAAGGGAATAAGAGCATATTTTATTTTTAGAGAAAAGTGATACTTAGAGATAAGGGTTTTGGTGGTGCTGCTGTGTGCAGACAGACTACACACCAGAGCCCTGCCCATCATGTCCCCATGGCCTCTGTTCTTGGGCTAAGAATGTTTAACACTTGATATCAGAAAGTCTTGACATTTTGAAATCATTTTCTGTATTTAGAATTAGTAATACAGTTTAATGCACTTTTAAGTGACAAGGAGTGCAGACCATATCTCTGGCTTTTTGTGTATTGTCTGGTTGCCCTTGTTTTATTCCTACTCAGGATGCTTCTGCAGTAGCTGCTAGAAACTTGGGCTCCTCCTAACAGAGCTTTAGAAAGAGGCGGCAATAACGAGACTTGATAACCTCAAAAGCTGTGCACAGGAAAATCATCTGCGTTTGAGCTAAAGAAAGTCATGAAATCAATTATAGAGGATTGTAGTTAGGTGTCTCTTGCCCCTCCATAGATGGTTTTTCATCCACAGGTAAGATAAACGAGGAAAACTCGCAGAAGATACAAATGTGTATTTATTAAGTAAGCATTTTTTTCAAGTCAGAATGAATTTTTAAAAAATTTTACTTAATTATTTTTATAGAATTTAAATCAATGTTTTTTATAATTCAAATTTCTGAATTTAGTTCCTTGTCTAATCCAATAACATTACATGAAAATGTGAAAATGTTAGTTATTTTACTTATTGATCATTCCCATTGCTCCATGCAACTTAAAAGTTAACTTACTTCTTCATTCAAGCTCTCCTTTGAAGTCTTGTCTAGAAGTTATAGACTATTGAAAATGTAATTTTAATGAAATGAATTGTGTTTTTCTTAGCCCCAAACCTACAAGTATCAGAAAATTTCAGGTGTCCTAAGCAAAATAGCTAACTACAATTTCTCTCAAAATAAAGTTACTGTTGCCCATTTTTAGATGACATTTTAGAAATCTCCATTTCACAGATGCAGAGATCCATACTACAAAATTCAACATCTACTATATGCAAAATAAAGGCTTTTTTAAAGCAAAAATGTATATTTATTCAAAATTACATTACACCATTTGTAATATTGTATTGGAATAAACAATTCCCTCAAAAGGTCAAAGGTAGTTGAGCCAAATAGTAAACAGTGTGCTCAGTATTCTTATAATTACCTCTTAGACATCTTATTTAATCTGTTTTGAAAACAAACACTACTTAGTTTGGGGAGTTTTATTTACCTTTTACACAAGTATGAAAACTGAAAAACTGAATTAAGAACAAGACAGAGCTTTGAACCTCTGTTATATATAACCAATTATAATGCATTGCAATTTTTTAATATGGTTTAGGGTTTGTTCACTTCTTATCTAGGTCCCTCTCATTCACCACAAGAACTAATTTTGACAGAATAAATGCATTGATATCATTAAGGAAAAAAATATTTGCATGAAATTTGAAACTAAGTCAAATACTGACTGACCAAACACCTTCTGAATTGTAACAATGTCCACTATTTACTATAAAAGTGCATTTATTGTATTTAAGACCTATGCTTATTTGTTTTCTAATTTTTTTTTTATTTCAACAGTATCATTTGCACTCCTTTAAAAAAAATAGTACAACTTGAGTGTCTCAGTCCAGTGCATTGCTATTTCATGTTTTTCTCCTACAGTATAGGGGAATAAATTCCCACGCTTAGCGCAGAATAGGTTCCATAGTATTATGGCCATGTGCCAGGCTAATCTATGGATATTTACTAAATAAAAACTTCAATTCATGAAAAAAATGATATGCTTTAAGCCATTAAAGCGATATAATAATGTTTCAAAGCCAAGCCTCCTTATGTATTTATTATTTTCTCCCTTTCAAATAGTAATAGTGCTAACTAGTTCCAAGGGCATATTGGAAAACATTTTTTTCAACTAAAACAAAACAAAATCCTTTTCACTCCTAAAGATAATTACACACACACTGGATATTTAGCCAATCCTCCACGTTTGTTCCAATATATTTTAGATAATCTGCTGATTCTTACACGATCTAACAACCTCATAAATTTAAAATGTATCACTATTTCTTAGGCTATATAGCTATATAGCACATATAAAATGGAACATTTTCCTATTAGCCGATTGATGCAAAAAATGTAAATAGCGTATCTGAAAGTTCACACATCGTGCCAGAGCTCTGCTCCTTTTATTTTGTGCTGAAAGTCATTCTGAAATGTCCTCATAACTGGAGGGAATTTTGCAAGTAATCATTAATAAATACACACCAAATAAGAAGCAAAAGAAATTATTAACCAACCAAACCAGCTAGACGCTTAGATAAAATAACATAAGATTGTACAACCTTTCAGCAGGATTTCTTGATATAACTTCTTTAAAGGACCATAAGCATGTCCATACGCTTTTGGGTTATTTGTAGATGAAAAGGAAGTCTGTTCCTGAAGACACACTGCCATAGCTCTAAAAGTTTCTTTTTGTGAAGAGTAGTAAACATGTTTCTTGATGTTTAAAACAATTCTGCATTATCTTGATGCATCAGAGGGACCTCTGTTCCCTCAGAAATATTACGGAAACTTCAAATGTTTAATTTAACAATGTGACCTAGTTAATATTAAAGAGAACCCAGCTGCTTGGCTTTCTTGCTTATGAATGTATGAATTTTCAGTACTGTAAAGTAAACAAGCATTTTATATGAAAACACTTAAGGAATGTCTCTGCCTACACTTATGCAAACTATTAATGAAATAAAAGTAATCATGCATGCACTTTAAAAACTTGCTTGCAACACTCAATTTAATATTTGTATATTGTTTTAGCACAGTGCCATGTTTGTCAGTAACATGTTGAAGTTACTGTATTGAACTTACACAATAAAGACAATACTATACGAGAATACTCAAAGCAAGACCTCAAATATCCTTCTTCAAATTATAGCTATATTTCACCCTTATAATATAATAGATGCATGTATTTACTTTTTGGAAGAGAGAACAAATAGAATCCATATTCTAGTATCACTGCTTTATTCCATTTTTAAAGAGGCACTTCTTCATATTTCTTAGAATATATTTTTATGATAATCTCTTCCTTTTAAAATATCAGTCAAAAATGTGTGCAAATATCACGGACAACATAAGGAAGTTACTTATTTTTAAACCAGCTTTGGAAGCAGCTGCCCCTGAAACACTGGAGAAAAGAAATGATACAAGAAATAGAAGGTTAGGCAGGCTAAGTGAGGGAAGTAAATGAATTATGGGCCTATTCCAAATCAAACGTGGTAATTCTTTGATGCCTACAAATTTTAAGTAACAAGATAACTGAAAAAGAAAAGCAAGGCTCTCAAAATAGAGAGGCAAATCATTAGAGCAAACAGTCTAGTGTTCATGTGTATGTGTGAGTGGGGATGTACTATCTCAATGAAATCGAAAGAATATAAGGGTGCTTATTTACTATGTATGTAGCAGTAGACATAGCAACATAACACATAAAATCACATGAGGAAAAATAAAATTCCTGAACAGTGTTAGTTAGCTGGTGCTGAGAGGAAAATTCATAAAGTTGATCAAATGTTCTCTAAGCAGCTTCAGAAACATTACTGGAAATTTTTTTCCAGACTGAAAAGACATAGGCAGACCGAACTAGATACAGCAATTTCAAAACACATCATTGTTGTAATTTGTTCATTCATTTAAAAATATTTTACACAATCCAGCCAACTCTCAATTGCTCATTTGAAAAAGAGCCGTCAAGCAGCAATGCCAATGCAGTTTCCAAATGTGGGGTAGGGAGAGAGTGTGAATGATACTTATAAGTGGGTAGGTATACACATAAAATATGCCTTCCAAGTTTTTTTTGTATATGACACTAGCCTATGACAGGGGGAAAAAAAAGCTGGCTATGTTGGTTGACATCTGAAGCTGGTAGAATTCTGAAAATTGGCAATAAATGGTGCATATCAAATGAAACTCATGAAAATGCAAGGTTGACTGGCCTCCTGTACTTACTTCCTTTCCATTTTATTCCAGTGCATCATATTGTCTAACACTTGCTTGTATAGTATATAAAGCCCAATGCTAAAAAATGTATGTCAAGTTGGCAAAAATGTAAGAACAACATTGGTTAGGTTCTTAGATTAAGAGTTGCTGTGGCTTTTTATTCCAATGCATTCCAATCTCTGTAATATTTATGGGTGGAGCAGAGGACCGACAGTCATTATTCTTCTGCATTTGATTGGAGGTCAGCATTTTTAAGGTATCTTGCATTCATATTTTTAATGTATATTTATGTATTTTTACAAATACTAGACAGTCCATTGGTGACACTGCAGAATTGTGTACTGATCTTGATTTTAAGATTCTTAGCTATAGAATTAGAACTTGACTTTTTAAAGCTTTTGACCAAGAAGTATATGAAGGCTGCTACATGCCTTTATTTCTGTTGGTTTCCAAAAGTTCCTTGAGATATTTTTCTTTCAAAAGAATATTTTAACGTTAAATCCTCAGTCTCAAAAATTACCACTCTGAAAAGGTGGTAAAAATCTTGCTTTTTCACACTAGAATTTGAAATTTAAAGTCAAATTTTTAAAATGTGCTATCATTGCAGAATTTTTATGAAGTGAAAACTTTAACATAAGGATTCCAAATCTAGATTTATACTATAATATAGTATCTCAGATGCCCTCAGAAGATTTCATTATCTCTCCTGGATGCAATATGCTCTTAAAATCTTTTCTGAGAAGAAAATGTGTACTTACTGGATCATTAGGAAAATTAACTTGAATTTGGGGAAAACAATATTACTCTCCATCACCTGATATTGCCTACTGCCTTTGTTGATACCTGTTGTTTTTTTGAAGACAAAATATATTGCACTAAAATGGCAGAGTCAAGATTGCATTACAAATTAAATTGAATTCCCTTAAATAAGTTCACTGAAAGTCTGTTTTACTATACCTCATTTTCATTAACTTTAATGGAAGTGGTTTTCCAGAGTTAGCATTGCATACAGTAATCTATAACATCTCTAAGACCATTGAATATGTGTGATTTACTTTGTAAGCCTGTCACATTGAGGATTTATTAGAGCTCAGTAAAAATATATACGTGTGTGAGAATATATATATTTTTTCAACCAGTGCACAAGAATTAGAAATTAGCCCCTTATTGGTACTTGGCAAGTTTTATGTTCAAAATTAGCTGTCAAATACTATTCATGTATGAGTTCTCTTTCTCTTGATCAAAGAGTTTTGGGGGAAAAAGTTTCTTAAAGTACATCAGACAGGGATAAAATGGGGTCTGGAATAAAGGACACATTGTGAAGACAGCAGTTTAAAAAGAATCCACTCTCTTTCAGAATTCCACATCTTAATTTGGGGAACATATTTTTTCACAAGACTCCAGGAATTAAACAACATAGAAGAGTTCAAGTGTTGAGTTTACCAGGTCATTTGCCATTTCTTGTCTCCCAAATGCAAGGCCAGTGATAGTCACCAGGGTACGTTTTCTGTGAACTGAAAATCACTAGACAGTTAATACATTTATCATAATAATTTCCTAGAATCATCTAGTTCCCTGTGCCCATTAAATGTACATTTGAGTACGACAGTTTCAGAGAAAAACAGCGAAACAATCACTATGATAGCTGAAATATGGCTTCATAGGAAACAGGGCTACATTTAATTAGCTTTAATTGCTTATGTGTCTTTTCTGTTCTTGTTATAGTTCATATCACTGGCATAGACTCATAAGCCAATCTTCCAATTTAAGTTACTACCAAAATTTACAAACTTGACGTGAAGAGTACATTGTATTTACAAAGAACTTGGCACTTACAGAATAAATTATTGACCTTTTAAAAAAAATTCAGACCAGGGCACCCATGGTTCAGGCAAACGGGAAAGCCTGATGTCTTATATATTATGCTACATTAACATTAATAAATAAATTTCCAGCTGGTAATTCCTCCGCAGCGCTGGCCCTGGTGCTGAAAACAAGTACCTTCCATTTCTAATCCATGGGGAGGGTAGAGAAGTTATCAGTCCAGAGAGAGCAAAGGTTGCATGTTTTCTTCCTCATTTTTATCCATGCGCTTTAACACTGTAGGATCCACAACCGATTGGGATCTAGAAATGATAAAGCCAATGTCAGTGCGTTACTGTCAAACAATCACCTTCTGTTCTCTGTCTTTTCTCCTTTATTACTTCTCTCATGGATGCGGATTAACTTTTTCTACAACAAGAGACTTATGAACTGAGAATGCTGCACATTTAAAGAGATACATTTATGGTGATGTTTTGCATCAAAGGAAACAATCCCCTCTGGCCTCTGAATAGAATAATGCACAGCAGAGGATTCTAAATACATAATAATAGGCTTAAGTTCTCTTCTTTACAGTCAAGCAAGAGACTTTTCTTTGAGAATTTCTAGTACAGGACTGATGTATTCCAAGAGATCACCAAATGGGGGAATTATTACAGTGAACTTATTGTTATAAGAAAAGAAGTAGAAATAAAAGGAGCCTTGATTCCTGCCTGAAAGGGCTCTATGAAACGACTTCAACAGGAATGTGCATTTTTAACGATCTTTTTTTATATTTAATGAGAACTTTAGGAAAAAAATCAATATTTCAATATGAGTTTTGTTCAATTTTCCACTAGGGCATCAGAATAAAATCAATCTTACTCTTGAAAACTTTAAGAAAAGTAGAAACCCCTCTTGTTTATTCAGCAGCACTTTATGATTAGGAAAGGAAATAATGTGGAAACCCCTTGCACATGCCTTTGATAGCAGGTGGGAATTATATCTCAGTTCCTCACTAGGAAACAACATAAAACTGGGAAGGAGGAAAGTCAATGAAAAGTGCTACTGTGGTGGCAGGAAGCTGTCATCTTAATGGCTATGGCATTAAAGAAGCAGCTGCCCTTTTAAATTCTCCTCCATAATGAATTTTTCCCCTGCTGCTGCATTCCAACCATTTGGCTATTGCTGTGGCAATATGCCTCTTCACAGACCTCATTAATTTTCAAAAAGAAAGACTATAAGCTAAAATACAACCACACACGCTAATGAAAAAGAACAGCAATGGAACTAATTATCAAAGCAAAAATAATTACAGAAATAACTGATAAATTGACTCCTTCATTTAAATAAACTTAAATTCATTTCTAAAGAGAGAATGAAAAGGAAGGTGAGAACTTTAAAATAAGGAGGTTTATTTCCTAAGTCACTTTCACTATTTTACCTCAATAATAGGTATTAGATGCATATGTCAGAATGGGGACTGGCTACAGTTGAATGTGGGGTGTGTGTGTGTGTGTGTGTGTGTGTGTGTGTGTATCTGTGTGTGTGCAGGAGAGAGAAAGAGACAGAGAGAGAGAGAAGGAGAAGGAGAAATGATAATTTATCTTAGAAAAAAGTACATGAATAAAATACATTTTAACACAATTGGCAATTGCACAAAGCACTTAATAATTAGACTTGCAACATTGTTTTTCTCAGACTCAACTGAAATAATTGGTTTCCCAAGATGAATCCACGCTAAAATATACAGGGGTTCATTTAATGTCCTGCACTAGAGGGTTACTTGACAACGAGTACCCACTAGACTATAAATTCCATGAGCAGGGACTTTATCAGTTTCTCTCCTTGCTGTGAACACAATGCATGTCACAGAGTCTGTTACACAGTAGGATTTCGATGTCTTAACTTTTATCCAATAAATAGTTTCCATACTGAAAGAAGATGGCTATCAAGCATTCAAAGCGAAGAGTGATGAAGATAAAGCAATTTATCCTGTGGAGAAAGAAATTCTTAACAAAAACATTTATTTTAAAATTCTCCCAAAGTTAAATATATAAATGTTGAGGCATATCCTAATAATATTCATTAAGTACACACCACAGCTCTTCAGACAGCACAGAGTCTACAATATAATCATTTGCCATAATGTTCTATTAAAACACACATCATACAAATACACATACACATGCACACACATCTTTTAAATCCTTACGTTCCAATAAATATGTTAAAAAAATTTTTAAATAAAAAAATATTAGAGGATATGGCAATTTTAATAAAATAGTTTAAATTACAGTGCACTATCCAACCTGGGATTAAGTTCCTAGTTTGCTTTTTTAAAAAACATCTTTATTGGAGTATAATTGCTTTACAATGGTGTGTTAGTTTCTGCTTTATAACAAAGTGAATCAGTTATGCATATACATATGTCCCCATATCTCTTCCCTCTTGTGTCTCCCTCCCTCCCACCCTCCCTATCCCACCCCTCTAGTGTGGTCACAAAGCACCGAGCTGATCTCCCTCTGCTATGTGGCTGCTGCCCACTAGCTAGCTATTTTATGTTTGGTAGTGTATATATGTCCTAGTTTGCTTTTATCATGCACTACAGATGTCAGAATTGTTGGATGATGAACGCTGCTGGCTCAATACGCAGGACTATTCCTCAATAAAACAAGCCAGGCAGAAACAATTTCTGATTAAGCTTTTTTTGATATTTAATTGCCCCAAGTGTACTGTTGTTTTAGTCTAGATTTTCTTTTTGCTCTCTTATACAAAAAAACAGGGTTATTTGTGCAGGATCATAACTGTTAATAAATTGGTCTGTTTCAACTGCAATAGAGGAAGTTACCTAACATTAACTCACAGTACATCTTAGCAGTCTCCAGCCTCTACTGTCTTTCAATGAATAACTTTTTTTCCTCATGAAAACCTATAGTTTAACTTTAATTATCCAGGTATCATTTATTCATTTATTATGTATCTACAATATTGTGCTATACCTTAGTGTTTAAGAGACTAGATTTTAGACAGAAATGGATTCCAATTCCACCTTCTACTAGTTATTAGTTCTGTGACCAAGGGAAGGCTATTTAAACTTCCTAAGATTTTGTTCCCTTATCTGTAAAATGGGGAAAATAATACCTACATCATACAGACGTATTGAGGATCAAGTGCAATAATGCATGCATAACCCCCGGCATTAATTCCGGCACATAGCATATGGTAGTGGTTAAGGAAATAACTTAGAGAATACTATTTCCTGTGTTCCAGCATTAGCATTGTAGCTTTGGAGGTATGTGAAGTGTAGAAGTTTCTTACCTTCTCTGTATCTGGGTCTCCTCATCAATAAGATGGGTATAGTATTACCTTATTAGTTGTTTAGAAAAGCAAAGGAGTTGATGTATACAAAGCATTAGATAGGGTTTGGCATGTAGTAACAATAGGTGTTGAATATTATTTAATCAAATGGAAGTGCATATTACCATAACAACATTAGTGTTGATGCTCACTGCAACTGTTGTGTGCCAGGCACTACCCTGGGTCCTAGAGGCATAAGGTAAAAGACATTCCCCGAGTTCAAGGAACCCATTCTCTAGTGAAGTTTGTATTCTTTCACATGATTATATTATCTCTCCACAAATTTACATGGAGGAACATAATCTTCTAGCTATACACGTAGCTAAATTCACCCAAAGGAACAGTTATCTACAACTCTTTGGTGAAGGAATGATTTTTCCCCTCTCAATCTAAGAATGATATAAAACTGGAAAAGGAGATGGAGGAAGGGTGGAACCTAGAAACAATTTTCTCCCGTCCTTGATGGGGAACTGCCATCCCCTGCCAGAGAGAAGATAAAAATAAAGTGAAACAACTTTCTTGATCTCATTCTTCAGGAGTTTTCAAATAGAACCATATAAGCTTCATATGATACAAAAGCTACACCAAACAAAGGATGTCTGAAATTCCAATCAGCCCATGTCAGAAGCAAGAAACTCAGGGTTGGGGAGGTCATCGTGCTGTAAGCCAAGTCTTCAGGGGACAAAATGTCCTAATTAATTGAAGAAAATCAGGATCCAAAAAGACTTCAGAATGTGGATCGCCTGAACCAAATCTAACAAGATGATGTCAATTAAAATAATGTGCTTGGAGGAAAAAGCTAAACACAGAAATAAAGAATTATGAGGATAAGGATCTATAAGTAAAGAGACCAGTTTTAAGGGGTTCAGTATGAGTCAGCAATGTGCCTTGGCTGCCTGAACGGCAGCAACAGTGACAGCAACAGCAACTAAAGGAAGCCAATGAGGTCCTCACTGCAAAGCCAGAATTCTGGAACCTCTATGCAAGTAATGATAACGTCAGATGTCACCTCTACAATTCTAAACACTGCACCTAAAAGGGGCCACTGACAGACAGCAGAGGACTCCTTCATTCATTTAACTGGTGCCTGGTGAGCATGGTTTGTGTGCCAGGCTCTACTCCAGGCACTGAGGATTCAGAAGAGAACAGGACAGACAAAGCCACTAAAGTCTCCCTGAAGCTTACATTGCAGGACAGGGGGATAAATAACTAAATAAAATCAATCATTTCACTGACTAATAATGAACTATGAAGAAAATAAAGAAGGTGATTGATAGGAAGTGTCTAGAATGAGTAGGAAGTAGAGCTGATTAAGACCTGATGACTGAGAAAGACCAAAAGACCCTCTTAAGGAGATGACCTTTGATTGGGGCCAGCCATTGGAAGGCAGAGGAAAAGAATATTCCAGCCAGAGATGACAAGAATAAAGACCCTTGGATAGGAACAAGCTGGGGAGGCTGAAGGAGAATAAAGAAGGATGTTGTGTCTGAAAGGTAGGGGAGGAGAGAAAAGGTAAATAAACTTAGAGGAGAGAGGTAGGCAGGATCAGATCATGCAGCATATTGTAAGTCTCGATATGGAGTCAATTGTATTCATTGTATAATCAACAGTCACTTAGAAATTCAAAGCAGAGAAGTGAAAGGGTCTGATTTACATTTTTAAAATATTATTTTGATTGCCAAATGGATAATATAATAAATGGAAGGTAGGGGAGCAGGGTAAAGGTGGAGGCAAAGAGAGCAGGTAGGAAGTTTTGGAGGAAGTGTAGGTGATGGGGATGCAGCTAAGGCTGTAGAGGATATGGAGAGAGGTGTGCTCAGAGGAGGGGACCACATTAGTTAACAAGTCACAGAAGGAGGGGCTAAAGGAAATGAGCATTGCTGGCTGGCAAAGGAAAAGACTAAGGGACACCTATGAGAGCTGTCTCCAAATCCTCCTGTAGCTCAGTTCTACAGTGAGGGCACTCTGTGTCATGCTGTCACAGAAGAGTAGACAAGATTTATATCAACAACATGAAAGACTCTGTACCTCATGGCTTGGAACCTTGTTCCATTACATATAGACCATGTGACTTTGGGGATACGAATATCTGTTTAACAAGGTTGCTGTGAGAATTAAATAAGTGAATGTTACCAAAAAAGGTACCTAGTAAGGGCCTAACTCATGAGAAGTTTATTAAAAATGGTAGATTGTAACAATTATCACTGTTAGAATTTTAATTTTTATCAGCAGGAACCTATTCTTAGGCAATGGCTTTTAACCATTTTTGTCTTAGACAACTTTGAGAATTTGATGAAATATGCCTTCTCTCCAGAAAAAAAATGCACCATATATACATTTATATATCTATATATACATACTTACATTCAAACATATACACACACAGTTTTGAATACAACTTTTATCACTTTACATACCACTTTGAGAGTCCATCAATGAACCCCTTTGGTGAGAAGAGCATGTAACTCAAATTAGGAAGCCTTGTTTTAAGAGGAGGGAGTTGAAAAGCCCAAACTTGATTTAAAGATAAGCTTGTCAATTAGTGGAGAAATTAAAGCTGAAGATGTTCCTGGCCTTTCCGTTCTCTCCAAGGAGTTGTGGAGCAGCCTGGGGAGCAGCCCGCCCCCCAAGAACAGCAGCAGCTGCAGCAACAAATAAAAGAGGCCAGCCTCAAAGATGCCACTGCATGAGTCAGTGGTGACCAAATGACCCTAAGGCTTTCCTCAGAGAAGGATGCAAGGTAGTGTTTACAATAACATGGGAGATGCCCTTGTGTCCTCCCTGAATTAGGTGAAGAGAGACTTGTGGGAGCTGTGGTTCCTATATTTCTAGGATAGGAAATGAACCAAGAAATAATATTTGTGATCCAAATGAACCCTGGGCTGGTGTGGCCTGGGGTAGCATAAGAATTAGATGTCTTCATCTAATTGCTACAGAAGGCAAACTCAGAGGCAGTTATGCATTTGTGTGTGTCTGGCAACCCCCTTGCCCTCGATCACCAGTAGATTATGGCTGGACATATGTTTTACCCATATTGGATACCAAACGCCTAGGAAAGTTTTTATTACAGAGCATGTGTTGAATAAATACCCATTGACTGAAAGAAAACAGGCCTAATAACACTATGAGAGTCAAAGCAGGAAATCAGGTTCTGACTCAACAATGAATTCTGTAAAGCTTAAAGCTGTAGGGAAAGACAGTGTTTTGCCCCAGGAATGGCTAGACAGAAACTTTTAAACAGAAACTTGGCAGAGATGCTGAAAAAAGAACGTAAGCTTTGAATGTTAGTGTTTGAAGTGTGTGTGTGTGTTCACTCTATGGATCCCTTCCTTCAAATGAAATCTTATACAGAAGTCCAAAAATTTGTTTAGATAGTCAGTCTCACCGCAGTGGAGATGGGCACTGTCCCCACCCCCTACCTGCTTGCTCTAAGGCACTCAACCAGAACCTTAAAGAACAGTTTGAAAAGCCACTGGATTGGCTGACTTCAAAGGGGCCAGCTGGATTGTGAATTTGGAGCAACATTGAGTTGAGGTTACCTTGAATGAATTTATCTTTGACTTGAAACTCCTTAGACATCCAATCATAGAAGCATGAAAGGCTTTAAAATGTCACCAAATATCTACTTCAGAAAAATATAAAATCTGGAGTTGTATCAGGTGTCCCCACCCTGGCCCAGCCCGCTTCCCAGCAACCTCCAGCATACCTCTTCATGGACTTGGGGGAGAGTTCCTTCTCTACCTCCTTCACAGGCATGCTGTAGGAGTCCACATTGTATTCGCTGTCGTCATCATACTCGTGGTCTAGCAGTGTTCTTGCCCAGGTTCCCATATCATAAGGGGGGAGCATTCCTCCAAACTCAGAGGGCAAAATCTCAGGATGAATTAGTTGGTGTAGACTGTTCAGGTTGTTACCGTGCAAAAATATCTACAAATGCAAGAAGAGGGTGGGAGAAAACACACAGAGGAGAATAAATATCACCCAGATTTTGGGAACTGGGCGGGTGGCGGGGGGGGGGGGATGGAAGATTGAGGATAGGAACGCCAAAGCAAGAGTTTTCCATGTCTGTTAAAATATTTAAGCCCCTCATCTACTCTGAAACAGGAAGGCTGGTTCTGTAATCCTAATACTTCATATAAAAATCCTGAGGCTCAGGGATTTTAGGTAGCTTCTAGAAGGTCAGATCGTTATTGGTTTAAAGAACTGGAACAAGAAATTTAGTTTCCTGCTTCATAGCTGGGAACATGAGCAGAATCTAATGTGCGCGTTGGTCTGCACATTATCCTGGTGTTAGCTGTACAAAGCTGATGATGTGCATAATGAATGCTGTTAAAAGACTCTTCTCATAAGGACTCAACAACTGCTGAGCCCATTCAAGTTATTAAACCCAAAAGCTGTCACCAGTATGGCTTTCTCTTTATCTTCGGTAAAAATAAGAATACTGTAACCACTAAATTACTGCTTTATAATACAAAGTATGTGATGTAAATAAAAGTAGATTAGCATCATCACAACGAAGGGTTGACTGAAGTTTCACATCCCAAAGGACCAATGTTCTATAATGTTGCCAGCATCTTCTCTGCTAGAGATTTCCATGGTTATCATTCAAATCAGAAATGGAATGAGTTGAAACTGTAAAGCTGTGTGCATCTGTTAATTATTCTTATCACTGTCTACATAGAGCTTTTTGTCAAACTGGAGAATTATTTAAGCTACATACTCAAGATTTCTTTCTCCATAAATTGCTACCTCTTTCCTCTTCTTTCATTTCAGTCTCAGGACTTCAGATCAGTCTTCTCTGATAAAGTACTCTTGTCACCTCATATAAACTTATATATTTATTTAAAGATTATAATTTATAAGTGGCTTAGAAATCTCATACTTCAGGTTCAAGATGAACAGGCTAAGAGGTTTATCTTGCTTTCCATACTTTTAGAATCCACGGAAGTAAATATACTGGGAAACAAAGACTAGTCTATATCAAATAAAATGAGAGGAATGGGAGTCACCAGTCAACAAATAATTTCAACAAATTGTGGAAGAGTATAAAAGCACCTGAGATCAGGTCACTGGCCAAAATGATCACAGCAAGTGGCTGGTGGAGTACATAATGTGGGGCTTACAGAGGTGGAAGATACTGTCTGCCCCAAGTTAAATCAGGTTAATTGCAAATTTTACACCTTCCCCTTCCTACTTACAGAGCACAACAGGAAAACACACACACACACACACACACACACACACTCTGTCTCTCTGTCTCTGTCTCTGTCTCTCTCTCTCTCCTATAATTTTCCTGGGAAAATTAAGTTCTAGCACCTGAAATCCCTACTTTATTAGGTATACAACCTTTATTTCATCAGATGTACTACTTCATGTCAGAAACCTCATCTTTCAAGTCATGCAAGAGTTAGGTAATAAATCCTTAGAAAAGTAAATGTAATTCACACTACTTCTCTTTTCACTAACACTCTGTTCCCTCCTCCCTCAACATCACTTTCAGCTTTGGCCTTGTTTCCTCTTTCCCTGAAAAAATAGGGCAACCAGATGAGACCCACCCACTAGCATCTGTGTCCATATGCTTTGCCTTTGCTCCCAGCACAATGGAAGAATAAACTCTACAAAGGCCAACCCCTCCACCTGTGCACTAGAATTCATTCTCTCTTCCACTCAGTTATATTTCCCAAACAATTCTCTCTTGTCTCTCTCACATCATCAGATTTCCTCCTCTTCTGTATCTTTCCCATCAAAGAACAAACATGCCAACTCTACTCTTCCCTCCCCCCCATACAGATGCATAAAACCTCTCTTGACCTTACCTCCAGTTATTATCCTATTTTTCTCCTTCCTTTCATTGCAAAACTCATCAAAGGAGTCATCTATATTCATTGTCCAAGTACTTTTGTCCCATTTTTCCTGAATCGAATCCAAATAGGCTTTGCCTCCCACCATTGCATGAAAATAGCTCTTGTCAAGATCCTTCTCACTGCTAAATTCAGTGTCCAATAATTCTCTGTCCTTATTTTTCTTAAACTCTCAGCAGCACTGGATATAGTAGATGGCTCTCCTCATTGAAACACTTTCTCCCAGGATCTCTTGGTTTCCTTCTATTTGATAGATGCTTTTTTGAGACTCTTTTGCTGGTTATTCCTCACCTCCCCAGCATCTTAACATCAGAGAGCTCCAGGCTTCAGTTCTCAGATTTATTCTCTTCTCTAACTATACTCACTCCTTGGTGATGTCATTCAGTCTAGTGGCTTTAAGTATTGTCCATACACTGAAAATTTATATTTTGAATCCAGACTTCTCTTTTGAACTCCATATTGTATTTCTACTCCCTATGTCACACCTCCACTTAAATGGTAAATGGGCACCTGGAACTTAACATATCCAAGATTGAACTTATAATTCTCTCCCCCAAATCAACTCCTCCCTATTTTCAATGTCAGTTAATCGTACAAATATGCTTCTAGTTTCTCAGGCCAAAACATTTGACTCATCTTTTACTTCTCTCATAATCTAAGTTGTCAGTAAATTCTTTTGGTACTACCTCCAAAATCTATCCTGAATTCAAACATCTGAACAACTCCACCCTTACAACCCTAACTCAACTCCCATCATCCTTCACACTGTGTTACTGCCTCCTAACTGCCCTCCTGACTTCCACTCTCACCACCAATACTCTATTCTCAACACAGCAACAGAATGACCATGTTAAAACATCCGTCAGGTCACATTAGTCTGCTCATAATCCCCCACTGCCTTCTTCTTTCTCTTAGAGTAAGTCCTATAAGATCCTCTATGAACTCTTTCTGTGAGCACATCTCCTACTACTCACAGCCTGCTGGAATATGCCATGCACACATTTGTCTCATCATTTATTGAAGTTTTACTATATTCTCCCCCGTGTATATTTTTTCTTCCTCCATTTCATGCAAGAAGTCTGGTTCTTTGGGTCTCCTTTGCCTCAGATTACCTTACAATTATACTTAGGCTGAACTTTTAAATTTAAAAAACTTTTACATTTTATTTTCCTAAACCATGCCATTGAAGAGATTATGGTAGCTGACCATAACTATGGTAGAAAGAGGGTAGAATATTTTTAAGAATTAGCAAGGAATAGAATAGCAAGCCCACGATTGAGGAAGAAGTGGAAATTTGTGACAACTAGCAGGAAAACCTGTTTCCTGTCAGCTCTTGGGGTGTGGCAGGACCACATCCGTAGACCAGCTGAAGAACGCACTAGGGTAGTGGATTGAAACCTCGCCATTGGGTTCTGGCTTCAGTAAAGATGCTGAAGCATCTCCTTCTGCTGGAGCAGAAGGGGACCTTAATTCAAGGAACTAATACTAGCTTGAACAGTGGGCATGTCAAAAGTGGCCAAGATGGATGGGAAGTCAGGCTCTACATGAAAGATTCTAGACACTGGTGAAATTTTGAGAAGAAGGGACCCCTGTCAACCCCTAAGGTTGACATTCCCATCAGCCCAGTGTGTTGGAAACCCAAAGTCTGATTTAATTTAAGAAAATGAAGAGCTAAATGTCTACTGTGAAAGAGGATTCATGACTCTTTCCTAGGTTTCCTTTTACCAGTTTTTCAGAACATAGATTTACAGCATCTGTATTATAAGTTGTTTGAGTAATACTGTAATGCTGAATCACTTGGGATTCCAGTAAGGAAATATAATAACGTTGCATTGTGCATTGATTATATACTTAAAAATTAAAGGTGTTTCAATCTACAATTATTTTCTCATACAAAAATTTCCAAGTCATATAGTTTTAATTAAAATGGTAAAATTCAAATACCTCAATTCCATCTGGAATAGTGCTAGCAATGCATTCTTGTAGGCATTGTCAAAATCATCAAATTCCATCAAATAACTCCCAAACCTAGAACTTTCCTTGTTTTGTAGACTTGAAACTCTTCAGTCTTTTCAACAGAGCAAAATCATGTCAAAATCATGTCACAACAAGTCACTCCTGCACTCAAAGTCTTTCAAGTGCTCCTCATTTCACTCTGACTGAAAGCCAAGATCTTTACAACAGTGTACAAGACCCTCTATGAGCGGGCACACTATGTTCCTGCCCATCCAGTCCCCTAATATCCTCCCCAGTAGCTTATTTGTCTCCAGCTTTTCTGGCCTCCTTGCTGTTTGTCAAATATCCCAGGCCTGTTTCTACCTAAGGACCATTGCCTTTGCTAGTCCCTCTACCTGGAACAGTCTTCCCAATACATCCACATTTTCAGCTCTACTACCTCCTAGCTGTGATTTAGAGCAAATGGTTTCACCTTCTATGCCTCATTTTCCCATCTATAAAAGGAGGAAAATAACAATGCTTACCCTAAAGCTTTGTTGGAGGGACTAAATGAGTTAACATACCAAGAGTACTTAGAACAGCACGCGGCAAAGCGTGAACACTACAAAAGCATTCATTAGTACAATTTGTGCTAAAAGCCCCAGCAGGTATTTTGGATCACCTGATCAGCCCTTCATAAAACAATGCTGAAAGTGTTTTTTCTGAGGCACATCAATACATTTTTCCAAATTATAAAATGTAAATTAATATGAATCTTGGTGGTAGAAATAATTCCTAATATAAATTATAATTGTTTACAGAATTCTTCCTCCTAAATTGCTAAAACATATTCAACAAATTCATAAACAGAAAACTCTCTGTTCACAAATGTTTGACACCGACACATACTAACAATGATTTCACTTTCACACTCACAGTAAGGCTTCTATGGCACTGAGATACCTGAAGTGCCTTCTCATTCATGAGAAACATGGAAAATTATCTTCCCTATGGATTTAGAAGTAACTATATTTTCCTGTGGAACTAATCATTTGAAAATTGGTCACAGCACAGTGGTAAAAATATCTCTAAATGCAGAGCTATTTGTATTCAAATGTTAACTCTACAACTTTACAGCTGTGTAAATGAATAAGCAAGTTATTTATCCATCCTAAGACTTACTTTCCTCAGCTTTTCAATAGGAGATGATGCTTACTAAGCTTACTTTTCAGAGATGTTTGGAGGATAAAATGAAATAATGTACATTAAAATGCATTTTAAAATATTATCAATAGTGATAAATGTGTTCGGTATTTACAATGTGCCATGCACTGCATTAAATAATTTATATAAATATTCTTATTCTCAGAAAAATGATTATTTTGGAACCTACTTTGAATATCCTCATTGTTGGATAAAACTGAATCTTGGAATTCAAGTAACTTGTAATTTAAAGAGATATTAAAATGTCTACACATTAGTATTCTTTCTGAAATGTGTGATTGATCAAGACAATCACTACAAAATTATATTAGAGATCACAAAATTCACTATATTCAATGTAATACATATTGTGAAATAACTAACACCTATTTATAACATAAAAAATTATAACTTTTGCCTGTATATTACTTGAAATTAAGTGTACCAATAATAATATAGTAACATGGTATAATTTTTTTACTTTTAAACCGAGGCTTTAATGTATAATGAATGTGCTAAAATGTCCTCCCCATTTGTGGAAAAGCAAGAGAGCTAATTTTTAAGTATTTCTTTCACAGATACACTGTTCAGGATTAATCACAAGTTTTTACATTTTGTAAAATATCTTTTATGTTATCTTTTACAGTTATATTCAATACAGAAACACATTTTACCACAGCACATGTTATAAATACAGTATTCATCATAATTTATTGAATGGGGGAGCAGAAAGGAAATAAAAAAACAAAGAAGCAAACAAATACCCTTTTCCGAGTCTTCTCCTTCAGGAAAGGCCGGATCACGGTATACAGGGCATGGATATACCATGGTTGGTTGACAAAATGAATTCCTCCAAATCGTGCTGGGAAACTATCCTAGAGTAACATGGCGGGGAAAAAAAATCAAGACACGCTTTAAAACACTGAGAAGGTTTAGGGAAGGCCATATGGTATACAAATTTGTTATTCCGTACACTTAAATGATTATGTGTATAGCGAAGGAGAAGAAAGAAGGAAGAACCTTAGGAAGAACCTTACTGCAATTAATCATTGTAACTTTCATACAGAAACTGAAGCAATATGTAATAAAGCACATCTTTCTCAAGAATAGGTTGTTGATAGGAATTTCAGCATTTTTAGGAGTGTCACGTTTTAAGCCTGCAAACTGCTAACAGTCATTATAGACCAAGAAATATAAGTAAAAGACTATAGAAATTTGTCAAATAATGAATCTATGTTAGATAAGTGTCTATTAAAATGTATTTAAATTGAAATGTTTTATTAAATTTCAATGTAGTTATCTATAATGTGAGGACGGTCAGATATCAAAACTCACTTTATTCTCTTTATTTTATTACCAACTTTATTTTACTTTACTCCTTTCCTTATTCCAACTACAAAAAAAGGAAACACGCTTAAGCAAAATAAAAACCTGGAATTATAGTGTAAGAAATTTGCACACGCATTTTGCCAAGTTAAATGAAAGTTAAACCCTCTGAGCTCACTCAACAGGAGGAAAACGGGGCTATCACAAAGCCAGCCTCTCCTTCAGCAAGAACTCAACCATGTAAGGTTTGCATCTGAAGTGATGTAGAGTTGTTTTCCTCCTTTCTGTGACTAAATAGGTGCATTTCAAGTCCACCCCCAAATCTGAAGAGAATCCTTAAGCCAAATAAGTTACAACATTTGACAGAGCTACGGATTCTACATAAATGGACATAGATTTTGCTACTGGTTCACCATTCCACACTGAACTGACTACAAAAGTCTCCTTTAAAAAACTGTACCACTAGAAGTGTCTCTTGAGTGGCATCATAATAATTGGCATACATCTAGATTCTACTGAGAACATAAACAGGAACAAAAGAGAAGAAACTGAAATAATTGTAGATCTATTTTCTTAATTTAAATTTTCTCTCGAACAAGATTCAAAAGATTTAAAAATATGCATGGTGTAACATCATTAAATTATTTTGTTTTTAGGGGACACTTATGAGAATTAGAAATTAATTAGTGATTTTATATATTGATTTTTAGAGTCAACAAACATTTTTTCTGCAACAAAATTTCTATCTTTGAGAATAACACACTACGAAAAAACCACAGTACTTCAAATAATAAATACATTCGTAAGCTGTGTCTTATTTTATGTCAATGTCTTACTTCTTTTATAAATTTGTAGCTTTCATTCATCAAGAGTATTACAAAACAGAAATGAATCAGGTAGAAATGCAGACATAGTGTCTTTTAATTTTTTTATTTTTTCAGCTAAATATGCTTTTATTTTCATATGAAAAAATACATCTGACTTCCACATAGCAGGTTACTTTTTAAAAAATTTTTATTGGAGTATAGTTGCTTTACAATGTTGTGTTAGTTTCTACTGTACACAGGCATAGAGAACAAACATATGGATACCAAGGGGAAATGGGGGGGGATGAATTGGGACATTGAGGTTGACATACATACACTATTGATACTACGTATAAAATAGATAACAAATGAGAACCTACTGTATAGCACAGGAAACTCTACTCAGTGCTCTGTGGTGACCTACATGGGAAGGAAATCCAGAAAAGAGGGGATATATGAATCATATATGTATATATGATTCATAGTGTCTTTTAAAATTATGACATTTTTATACATAAAATGAAGATAAATAATGTATATATAATAAAGAGAATACTAATATGTGCCCTCCACTCAGCTTAAGAAATAGAATATAATTGGTAACCTTGAAGATCACTGTATTTATATATTCTTTCATTTCTCCCACATTTTAAAATTTCACATTGTATTTCAAATATAAGGATTTCTCTTGCTTATATCAATATTTTATATTTTATTTTATAAATGTTATAAATATATAAATATTATATTTTTATTTTGCATATTTTATATTTTTGCTATATATATATATATATATATATATCTCCCTTAAAACATACTGTTAAGTTTTTTAAGTACTTAAGCTTTATAAAAATGTCATAGTCAATGTGGTCGGGTAACAGTGTTTTTGCGGTTCGTTGTATTTGAAATTTAAACACGTTGTGCATAGCTATAGTTCATTGTCACTGTTGTATAGCATACCATTGTATGGAACACCACAGTTTATTTTCTTCTGTCCCTGCACATTGTTTTCCAAATTTTCGGTTTGTTTTGCTATCACCAACACAGCTGCTCTGCAGACTTCATTCTCAGAAGTGTCTCTTGTGCATGTTCAGGTGTACGTGCAGGGTATTTATCTAAAAGTGTTAACGTTGAGTCATAGAGTGTATAGAGTTCAACTTTACAAAACTGTTAGGAGCAAACTGCACCAATTTATACTCCTCTTTCCCCCAGTAATGCAGGAAAGTTCTGGCTGCTCCACACACTACACTTGGTATTATCCATCTTTCTAACTTCTGCCAATCTAGTGGGTGTAAAATAGATTCTCGTGACACTTTAATTTGTTAGTTGCTTCGTCTATGCTTATTTTAATTCCATCATTAATAACATTGTTTGATAACATAACCATTTTACACAGAGGTGTTTTGTTTCTGGGTCCTTGAGGGCCTGAATTTGTTATCTCTGCTGGTCTTGTTCATGATATCTTGTTTATGGTGGATCATATTTGGCTAATATTAATCCTTGGGAATCCTGAAAGAGCTAGTTTGAGGATGCTTTTCTCCCGACAAGACCTATATTAGCTCCCACTAGGTTCTATCCCTGGATATGGGAGAGGCAGAGAGGTTCCTTAAATGTTTCCTGGCCAGCAGGGATTTCCCCAGCACAACGTTTCCCTAAGGATGCAGCACCTGGAGGAATGCAGGTTCTCACATCCAGTCCCCAACTTGCCCTCAGTGTGTGCAGGCCTCACGTCTTCTCCTGCCCACCGCGCACCCCCAGCAATCATTCCTCTCCAAAACTCTAGGTTCCTACAGTCAACATTGGCCTCCAGAACCACTCAAGCTTCCCTTATTCTGTTTCTTTCCAATAGACTCCATGTGTTTGTCTCTGTTGGGACTTGTTTTATGTTCACCAGAGTTCAGTAGAGCACCTAGACATATTTTCATTGTGATTTATTCAATACCTTGGTGCTTCATGGCAGGGAGATCTTTAAGAATTTTTAACCTACAGCACTGCCTAAAGCAGAACTACTTAGTACGCTTTTAAAATATACTCCTGAGTGAGCATTTGATCTCTAGAACAGAACTGAATGAACACCACCTATCAGGTTTTTAAGCCAGAAGTCTTAGCTCAGTGATTTTTAAACTTTGAGAACCACTTGAGGTCATGCCTTCTGCTGTGAACAAAGAATATACACATGTAAACACATAACTTACACATGATGCCATGGATTCCTTGGACACATCTTTCAATACAGAATGACTTGGTCAGTACCAAATCACAGTTAAGGCAGTGTGAAAGAGAAAGGAAAGCACTGACTTTGCAATCAAGTAGACCTAGGTTAAAATTCTGACTTAACAGTACCTCTGTGTTAAAAAGGTATCAAAGTATCAAAGTCCAAAGCAAGGACATAATACTTGATTCCTTCCTTTCCTCAGTGTGATATTACTCATTTCCTTTCTCTTTTTCTTCTCCTTGTGGTATTACCATTATACACATGGTACACCTTTTGTAGTTGCCCTGCAGTCCTTGGATATTCTGTTCTGTTTTTTTTTTCCCTTTGTTCTCTTTGCATTTCAGTTTTTGAGGTTTCTATTGATATATCCTCAAGCTCAGAGATTCTTTCCTTAGCTGTGCCCAGTCTACTGAAAAGCCTATCAAAAGCAGTCTTCATTTCTGTCACAGTTTTTGATCGTTAGCATTTCTTTTTGGTTCTTTTTTAGGATTTCCTCCTCTCTGCTTACATTGTCCAGCTGTTTTAGCATGCTGTCTAGTTATTCATTAAAGCCCTTAGCATATTAATCATAGTTCAAAATTCCCAGTCTAATAATTCCAATATCCCTGCCATGTCTCATTCAGATGCTTACCCTGTCTCTTCAAATTTTGTTTTCCACCTTTTTTCCGTTATGACTTATAATTTTTTCTTGATAGCCAGGCATGATGTACCAGGTAAAAGGAACTACTGTAAAAGGTCTTCAGTAATAAAATGGTAAGAGGTGGGGGAAGGTAAAGCATTCTATAGTCCAATGGATTAGCTCTTGGGCTTTTAATGATCATGTGCCTATGGACTGTTAACTCACAAGGGTTTCTTGATTTTTTTTCCTCCCCGCTTGGGTGGAGCAGGATGGCTAAAGTACCTGGAGTTGGGTATTTGCCTTTTCCCATGTGGAAGACTAAAGTTGGGAGTTTCCCTCCCCCACAGGTCAGTTAAGCTCTAATAATACCCCAGCAGGTTAGGTTCTGGTTACCTGGTTTCTCCTGAGAGCAAGCCTTGATGAGTAGAGCAGAGTGCTCTGGCATATGTAAAAATGGTCCCTTTTCCCCTCCTCCTGATGCAAACACAAGGAGATTTTTCTCAAATATTTACAGTGAGAACTTGGTCAAGGTCCTGGAGGTAAATCTCACAAAAGTGTGGAAGGCCCCCCTATACCTGCTCCTCTCCCTGGAGCTTTTAACTCTCAGCATTTTATACAATGAGCCTCCAGCAATTCGTCATTAACAATTCAGGCTGTCCTTCCCCAGATTGGTTCCCACGTAGGTTTCTGATCATGACTTTCTGCCCCAATAAGCCAAGACTCCCTGTATTCACCTGTTTCTCTAATCCTGGGGGGTAGGGGATTGCCCTGTGTCCTCACACCACTTTTATAGATCTAAGAATAGTTGTTGATTTTTCAGTCTGTTCAGTTTTTTCCTTGTTAGGACAGTGGTGACTTCCAAGCTGTTTATATTAGGAACTGGAAACCAGAAGTCTGATCCCCTTTATT